AGATAATGGATGGATGTTAGTATGAAGTCCCACCTTTTAGATGGTATGCTCAGTTTTTTGAAGCATGCTCGGGCATTGGAGATATTTTGGCCTAAACTTTGGGTATTTTAACAGTTTTCACTGTTGGGTGAGAGAGGCGGTCTTGGCTGACATGATTTATGTGATGAAACTCGTCGTAGGAGAACGAAACGTTGACAATAGATTGTCCTTGGGTAAGATAACATTCACTGAAAATATGAAAAGATTTGGTTGAATTCTTACAGCAGTAGAGCTTTCTACTTCTGACCATTTTTTAGGCGATTTTTGGTCATTTTTGCAACAAAAACAAGGAGGGGTGGTAAAATCCCCCCAGTTTGACCAAATTTCCTTAAACTTAGACTGAAGTAGTTTTGGGTGGATCCCTATAAACTGGCAAAGTTTCATTGAAATCAGTGAGATGGCTTGTGCCACCCCCGCCTGGTCCTATCGTGGATGCACTCTTAATTTGTCATTCAGCCCATTTAAAAAAGAGAAAAAAAGAACACGTTGAGCTGTTTGGTGTGAAAGATAAGGAACATGGACACAAAAGTTGACCTCTAGGACCTTTTGTGCAGCAGTGTGTAGCCGCAGCATGTTCAGCTTTTTGAATCCAAGTGAGTTTCATAAATAAAGACCCAAGAAGTCCTCACTTTTATAAGAGGACACATAAAAGCTAGAATAGAGTTTGTTAATGTTGACGAGTCACAATGCCCTTTAGGACAAAATTAGATTTTTGAGAAAGAAAAGCAAGACTTGTTTTGGAGCAAATCACACTGCTTCGTGTGCCAAGAGCTGCCTCGGTCACAGGTCATGGCTCATCTAACGGCATAATTACTCTAAAAATGCATCTAAACGCACCCAAGAATGCGCGAGAAGAAAACACTGGAACATTGTGAAGTGGCCTGTTTGGAGTCCAAATGAAGGGAGAGGAAAAAAAAAGTGAAAATTTGCAGTTGGGGGAAAAAAAAAGAAAAGGCATCTAATAAACCTGAGAGAGCAGTTTGCGCCAAAGGAGGGAGCCAAAGCACCAGCTGGGAAATGTAGTCATCTCATTAGGAGATAAATTAAGTGCTTGATTAGTTATTTCCTTAAAAGGTGTTACAAAATATTTGGTGGAGAATCCAAATATTTTTGGCACTGACCAAAAATGTTGGAATAGTAAATGATAAATGGATAATACATGGAGAATAGTAAATACCAATTAGTCAGTCAGTCAGAAATTAGTTTTAATTGATGTCATTGTGAGTTTTTAATTATTTTTTTTGGCCATATAAAGTTACTTTACCGCCAAAACGTTTATTTAAAGATGTAATATTTCTGTTATTCACCTAAAAGCTTCTGTGGCGTCTCACTTGTTGTTTAAAGGAAGAACTAAATACAGAGAAACTGCAAATTTGAACAGCAAATGTCATTTTTATCCAGAGGTTTGTTGTGACCAATCAGTTATATGAGTTAGTTTAAGTTCAAAAACCTGACAGGAGGCAGAGGGACACTGTAGGTACTTGGACAATTTAAATAAAATAAAATAAAATCATGTTATAATCCTGATTTTTTTTTCAGACTCTTTGGACTGCAGGTGATAAAGTGATTCTCTTTGAGTTGTCTTATTTGATAAACATTCATCTCTACAGCAGGGGTGTCAATCTCAAAAACACAGTGGGCCAAAATTTAAAACCTGAACAAAGTCGCGGGCCAACATTGAACAAAGGAACCTTTTAATATGGACCGAAAGAAATTTTGCTTTAACATTGAATATGGAACAAGCAACGGTTGTTACCATACATTATATATAACTTAATAGTGGAGACATGCAAAATCAAATTATAAATAAAAAAACACATCAATGGCACAGTGACAGTTGTAGTGTGAAGTCGCTATGCCTACTGTCACAGAGGAGAGGGAGTTTCTGGGTCCTGTCCTTATTGACGTGCCAAAACAACAACAGGGCATTATGGGATTTGTAGTATTATCGGTGAATGCGCTGTACAGTATAATACTGGGGGCAGCTCTAGTTGTCATTTGGTATTGTCTCGTGAGCCAAATATAATTACAAAGCGGGCCAAATTTGGCCCGCGGGCCAGAGTTTGACACCCCTGCTCTACAGCATCTTCTTCAACCAGTGTTACACTCACATCTGTCCCACCAGGAACAACGGCAGGTAGGAAACAAAATCACTCTCAGCCAAGTGGGTGATGAGTTCGTATTATGATTGACTAATCTGTGTAACGTTAAAAAATAATAATGCACAACTTAATAGACAACATAAGTCACTCAAAATTAAAGCAACCCAAGATGTAATGTGCATGTTGTTGAAGAAATTCACTCACAGTCCGAATCCCAACGTTTTTTTTATCGTGCAGAATTTTTTATTAGCATTTTGGCAAACGGTGGGCTTACAGGCACAGAGAGTGGACAACTGCCTTCTCCTCTGTGAGTTTTATTTTGTAGTTTGAAGTCATTAATTTCCATTTTGACCTGAAATAGTAGGTGTGACTAATCACATCCAGAAAGGCTCCGTATCCAATCGGAACAGGCGCTTCAGTGATGTCATTAGTTACACCTGCGTTAACTTCCTGTTTCAGGTCAAAATGGCTGCTGTGTCTTGGTGAAACCACATGAACAACACTGTAAGCAGTAAAAATGTGCCACTCCTCACTTAATTATAGAAGTTAACCAACAGAATCAGCACAAATCAGCCACGTTCAAAAGCTGCACTGAGTCGGGCTTTGTCGAGAACACGTTTGTCTTCAGTTGCTAGCAAACAAAGCCATGAGGCCGAGCTGGAGCGCCATCTGACAGCACGCTCAACTTCAGTCCAAGGAGGTTTCACATGCACACCGGATAAAGGTAACACAATAGATGCATTTATCTTTAAAAAAAAAAAAAAAAGACAGAACGGCAGATATATTTCCATAACTGATGGATTTTCTCGTTGTAATGACTTGTCTGCTTGTAGAGAAAGAGGCAGCCATGTAGATGTGAACATTTGGACAGTCTGCATGATCCGTTTTGTGGTTTAAAGAGCAGCTGCTGGACACTGAAGGTGAAAACCCAGCAGGGGTGTCATGCAGAGTTTTGCTCATCCTTTCACAGGACTATCCTGAACTTCCTTCTGAGGCCGTGGACATTTTGCTCCTCTCCCCGGTGACACACCTGAGTGAGACACCATTCTCCTCACTGACTGAAATGAATGAGATTAGACTCTGCATGTCAACTACAACTCCAAGGATTGACTTGTCTCAGCTCCTCACTAATTCCAGGTAAGCTGCTGTCACTGCAAATGGAAAGCGAGACCTAAAAACCTGGTTGATTTTACTGTATTTAATAAAGATTGCAGCATTCTTTGGTGACAAAACTGCTCTCATATGACTGTTGGTGAGACGTGTTGGCGACGGTTGGATATTTGTTTTTTCAGTCGTAGCTCACATGAATATGAATTTATTCAAAATGCAATATTTGGGATATAAATGCTGCACCTGTCACTCTGGAAGAGTCCTGATCCTCCAGTTTCAGACACCAGCTCAGCTTTTTTGTTGTTGTTGTGAGATCTCATATGTGGGTCAGGCTGCTCAGGGCGTTGTGGTTATTTCCACCTGACGTCCCTGATAAACAGCCACAACTCTGTTTCCATCCCTTATGTAAATCTGAATTGAATTGAATGAATGTCCAACATTTTTCTCACTTAAAGAACCGCATTCATTTAGAACAGCTTGTTTCTGCATCGATCCATGTTGAGGTTTTTGGCCCTGGGCCTCTTTTTAGCACAAACAAAAGATTTTTTTTTTTTGTTGTTGTTGTAAT